TGTGAGCCGCTAGATTAGCTAACATTACAACACAGGTACCACACGGAAACTTCTACAAACTGTCCTCTCAAAGCTCCAACAGACTCTCTGTACTTCCAGTGTGGCAGTGTGGACACGGAGAGGGTGACAGCACATGCTCGTGCGTGTAGCATGTAGCCACAACTGTCCTGTGCAGTCATTTGCTGCATTTTTAAAATTTGCTGAGAGAGAAACACAGACAGAGAGAGAAAGAAAGAGAGAGAGAGAGAAAGAAAGAGAAAGAGAGAGAGTTAGGGGAATTTGAGGCTTTACTTACACTTTTAAATGTATTTAGAGTTACAAATGTCTTGAATATAATTTTCAGAATCACCAATTAAACTGTTTAATATATATATATATATATATATATATATAGAAAAAGACTTGCCCTTGCTTTTTCTGATTTTTTTATTTTGCAGTAACCCTGTTCAATAACCACCAAAGGTAAAGATAATTGTGTTTAGCAAAATAAAGCACATCAGAGTTTTTGAGTTTTAATTTGTAGAAAGAAAGGGCGCCTGAATTCAAACACTGTTTGCATCTTGACGCGGCGTCCAATCAGCGCCTTGCATTTGGCTCCGCTACCAGTGTAAGTAACGGCAGCACAGCGGCACAGCGTCGAAACTTTCTGGACTTGTCGTTTTGGATTCAGCTCATTTTCAGCGTCTTACTACGGTAAGGTTTATGTTCTATATGATTTTTAGGTTACGTTTTATGGTTGATATTTCCCTGTTTGACCTGTAGGATGTATTCTTGTTGTGTTTGTGGAGAATCTGTTCAGTCTCTTAAGGCGTATGTTGTACATTGTAAACTGCATCGTAATGAACCCCGTTGTATTTTCAAGTGTGTGGAAATTGGCTGTAAGCAGGTATTTTCTAGATATGCAGCATTAAAATCGCACTTCTATCGCCACCATAGTGCTGCGTCGTGGGTTGCTCCGGATCATGCTATGGCTTTTGCTACATTGAAGTGCACGGTTGCACTTTGTGAGCGCCAGTGTGACGGAGTCAGGGAGTTGGTTGCTCACCTTAAGGAGCACATAGCAGAGGGACGTCCCGTAAACTGCCCAGTGAGTGGATGCAAAACCTCACTGTTTACTGTGAAATCTTCATTTACTTCTCATATGTCCAGAAAACACAGACATTGTTCAGTAAATGTGATTTGTGGCCAATTCAGTGATACAAACTCAGAAAGGCCTTCTACAAATGAGCAAAACATCCCTACTGTGCACGAAGCTGCCAGTGTATCAGATGCTGCTGAAGACACTTTTGGGAACTCTAATTTCAGTGACTTGTACCTCAGAAACATGTGTTTATTTTACATAAAACTTCAGGGGCAACTTCTTATTCCAGCATCTACTATTCAAACCATTGTTGAAGAGATTCAAAACATACATGAGATGGGACACACATATACACTGAACAGATTAAACTTGCTTCTGAAAGATTTGTCAGTATCAGAGGAAGAGATTGTAAAAATCTGTGATACAGTGAAGGACTCTGACTTGATCTCAGCTTGCCACACAGGGCCTATGAGAACAGCATACTCTAGAGCACAGTGTTTTAAAGAAATGTTTAAATATGTTGAGCCCAAAAAGGTGTTTCTAGGCCGAGATGAGAACAGAACAGAAAGATTTGCGTACTATGTTCCTGTGTTAAACACACTGAAGAACATGTTACAATCAGGGCTCATGTCAGCAGCTCCTTACGATAATGCTGTTTCAAAACCAGATGTTCTCTGTGACTGCCATGATGGTAAGGTGTTTAAATCAAACACCTTTTTTCAGGAAAATGCATCTTGCCTTAAGCTGATATTATACCAGGATGCATTTGAGGTGATGAACCCTTTGGGTTCTGCAAAAAAGAAGCACAAACCTTTGGCTGTGTACTTCTCACTATTAAATTTGCCCCCACATGTTCGATCAAATTGGATGTTGATCACATGCAGCTGGTTTTGCTGTGTAGAGAGAAGGACTTTAAAGAATTCGGCCATGCCAAGGTTTTTTCAGAGCTACTGGCTGACTTGAAACTACTGGAGGAGAATGGGATAGCAATGGCAGATGAATCTGTTGTTAAAGGGACTCTCTACTGCATTGCTGGAGACAACTTGGGCTCGCATTGCATTGGTGACTTTACTGAAAATTTTCAGTTCTTCACAATATTATATTATATATAATATTTCTGCAGATACTGTCTCATTTCTCCTGAACCCCTGAAAGCTACAAGTCAGCAGTGGATCAGTTACAAGTTGAAGAAGTGGCGGAGTAAAGTTCAGGTCAGAATTTAATTCCTTGAAACACTTTGATGTTTGTCTGCCTGGTTTGCCCCCGTGTCTTGGTCACGACATCTTTGAGGGTGTCCTCTCTTATGATGTTGCACTTTACCTGAGGTACTTTATTAAAAAAAAGAGATGGTTCACATACACTATTTTGAACAGACGCATTAAGCAGTTCAAATATGGATCTGTAGATGCGTCCTCCAAGCCATGTGAGGCCAGTCCTAAAACACTGCGACTTTCTGGTCATGCTGTACAAAACTGGAACTTTTTACGACTGTTGCCTTTAATCATTGGAGACAGAGTGGAAGACGCACAAGATGATGTGTGGCAATTAACTCTGCAACTAAAGGACATAGTTGACTTGATTTGTACTCAAAAAATTTCTGAGCCACAAGTTCTTTACCTGGATGCTCTCACTCAGGAATATTTGGATTCCAGGAAGGCACTGTTTCCAGATACCAACTTGAGACCAAAGCATCATTATTTGCGCCACTACCCAGGACTGATTTTGAAATTTGGCCCACTGATGAGACTATGGACTATGCGCTTTGAAAGTAAGCATAGTTACTTTAAAAGATGTGCAAGGCATTTGAAAAACTTTAAAAACCTGTGTCTCACTCTTTCAGAAAGACATCAGATGTTTCAGGCCTATCTTTCAGCTGGGTCAGTGAGTCCTCCAGCCTTGCTTATGAAAGAAGACGTGCCTTTCTACTCTGAGCTTTACAGTGAACAAGTTAAAGACGCAGTCTTGCAATTTGGCTTCACTGAAATAAATACAAAGATTCCTGTAGATGTGCAGTATAATGGGATAATATACAAGAAGGGGCAATTTGTTGTCACTAGGAATGATGACTCAGTGGAGTTCGGTGAACTCATCCTCCTTGTAGTTAAAGATGATTCTGCACTTCATTTTCTGATGAGAGTATATTCAGCAGAATTCCTTCCACACTACCACATGTACTCAGTGAAAAATGACAGTGGAAGATTGCAGTGCCTACACATTAACGAACTGATTGACAATTGGCCACTATCATCTTACATGAAAAATGGACACCAGATAGTGCCACTGAAGCACAGTGTATTGTCAGAGTAGATGCTTTGATGTCAGTAGACCAAAGGCCAACTTCTTTGTGTTTGTGTAGATATGGCTGAATCACAGATACAGACGATAAGCAGTGCCATTGCTGCAGTGCTTCCAGACCTTCCTCAAGCAGTTCTTACTTCAGTGGAAGATACATTGAAGGGATTTGGTGCAGAGACCATAAATGATCTGCAGTTCATTACAGAAGGAGACTTGCTGCCGGTGTTGAAGCCAGTCCAAGCCAGAAGACTTGTTGCTGCCTGGGCCCAGAACAATAAGTGTATTAAATTTAACATAATTTCACAACATTTCTTCATTGCCATCACACCATAGCACAAATTATCTAGTCATTTAACAATTAACAAGTGATCAGTTAACTACTAAATTAATCAACAACTATTTTGATCATTGTTTTGAATAATTTTTTTAAAAAAGGGGAAAAAAGAAAATTCTCTGATTTCAACTTCTCAAATATATTATAATATTTTCTGGTTTTTTCAGTCCTCTGGACAAACAAGACATATGAGGCCGTGCAGGCAGTGATCAACATTTTTTACTATTTTCTAACATTTTATGGACCAAACAACGGTGGCCATATTAACGATACATTACATTTTCAACAGAGAAGCATGGCATCCTTCAAGGTTTAATGTTTCCTTTGTTCTTCTGTTACAGACTCAAGCACTCCAACTGCAGCATTTTCCTCTCCACTGTCCGTCTGTTCCTCTCTACCCTCGGTCTCCCTCACCAGCATCCTCCTCAACCACCTCATCACCCTCAAGTAGCTGTTCCACTTTTGTGGCAAACTGGGTAGAGAAGTTCCAGGTACCATGGCAGAAGCTCCCTGAAGAGTTAGTGCAGAGTTTAGAAAGGAAGGCAAGACCTAGTCCACGGCTGCGGCGACAGATGGTAAGGATAGTGGTTTCTGTGATGATGAAGGTGTGTAATAATCCAACCAACACAACACTAGAGAGATAGGCAAAATAATGGTGGCCAAGTATCCAGAAGCCCTCCAAGATGTCATAGAGGGTGATGTCATTGGACCTGGATATCATTCACTGGTAAAGCAACTCCAAGCACAAGTTGAAAATGTGAAACGACCCAACACACCAAAGATAACGAAACACAAGGTTACACCAGATGAGTATGATACTGAAGAAATTCCAATTCGAGACTATGGAGAGTCAGCAAGAAAAAAAAAACAAGATGAAGGAGATGTTTGAAGAGATTGACTACAATGCAGACAATGTGAAAAAGTTAGTACAGTCCACCTATTACACACAGCGTAAAGACATCAACAAGGGGACAAGCATCCAGAAACTCAGCCAAGAGTGGCCCTTTTTGTTCAAGGAAGCTGGTATGGTAGCACACTTCCAAGAACTTACTGGTCTGAGTCTAATGGATACCTTCCTTGGCAATGTGGAGAAAAAAGGAAGACGCCTCTTAAACTTCTTCAAGAATGTTGATGCACAAAAACGCAAACAAGTCCTGGATGCTCTTCTCAAGTTTCAGACTGAGCGGGGCCATTTGGATGGTTGCTCACAAGACATCGTAAAGATGGTATTTCTTTTACTGGCTCATTTTGGTGAGAAGGAGGAGAACCTGCTCCAATACATTGAGGAGACATGCCTGGCCCAAGAGGTTCAGATGGAGAAGTTGCCGGCAACACCCTGCATAATTGTGTGTGGTAAGTAAACAAAAACTAAAAGTCTAACCAAACCCTGCAGCTAAGTCTACTGGTATACTGACATATAAATTATACTATTAGCTTACTTAGGGCTATGTTGTGTTGCAGCCCATATAGAGATACTGTCTATTACTTCACCTGGCACCAAGGTCAGCCCATAGGAGAATTCAATGCAGTAGCATAGTTTAAATGAACTCAGTTATCAGTACACTATTAAAATGTTTTGGGATCTTTTTTGGTTGTTTTTTTTTATGCCACTTGTTCTATGTTTAATGTAATAAGAACCATCGTATTTTGGTCAATGGCTTGTAACTGAAGTTTATTTATTTCTTTGTTTTGTTTTTTTATGTTGTTAATCTTTTCAGGGCCCTGTTGCTTTTCTGCTGAGACATTCATGTTGAGCATTGACCAAAAGGTTGTCAACGACCACATCACTTCCTTCACCTCTGCCCTCTGCCTGATGTTTGGGAGTTTCTACTGCTTCAACATACACTACCCAGTGGAACTACGATCAACACTAGAGTTTCTCCAAAGGTACAGGTTCTTTTTTGCTAGAACAAGAAGTTATTTGATTTCACCCATTAATTGTTACTTATTTTTTATTTTGTTTTTTGTTTTTTTTATGAAGGTGTTTCTTCTCAATAAATCCTGAGAGAGGCACCAAAGTCGAGTGGAATAAAAAAAAGAAAGTACTCCCAGTCAATCCTAGAGTCTTCACTCTGATTGCAGACCTCGCAGACCATGAATGGACATAGACACACCCTATTAACCCTTTAGGGACAAGTGGTTAAGGTATGAGTGGTTACTGTATGTTCAGGTATACTGTATGTTCAAGTAACCAGTATGTTATGGTATACTGCACATATTTTGTTGTTAAAATTGTACCACAAGGTAAATTGAAAGCCAGTGTAAACTTCTCGTTGGAAAATGTCTGGTGGTTTCTAAAGCTACATGTTTAGCTTCACTGAGAGATCAGTGGATTTGTGCTGGTGAACTTGGTAATTCCAGAAATTTCTTAGATGACATTTATTTTTTTTACAGTCATTAAGGTAATTGTTTTGTGATTTCTATAGTAAGTAAAATTTCAAACCATTGCTGTTTACAGCTTCACAGAAGTGGAAAAAACTTTCCTATATTTCAAAATATAAGAAGAACATGTTTTTTTGTGGCCTATTGTTTGTTCAGGTTTATTGAGTAGAATAAGTGTTATGAAAATACTGTAGTCCCATGTAAATCACGCTTATGTGGGTCATTCCTTCAGAGCCATGCAGTTAACAGTTTGAGTCAAGTATAGAGTCTTTGTTATGTGTAGCTCTGGCCGTATCTGACTTTCTAAAATGGACAGCTGCGGTGCTGCCTTTCTGGAGTGTCTCTGGGCTGGGCAGAGTGGACAGGGCGCTGCCCTTCAACAGAGACAAGCATTTCTTTGCCTGTAAAATGCAGCTTACAATCCACTGTAACAGAGCAGAGTTACACATAATACAGCCTGACTCAAACTATTGAGTCAACACTCAAGTTGTTATATGTAGTTTTGTCAATAAAGTTTGTAAAAAAAAAAAAGCTGTCATATGCTGTTGAGGCTTTTTGTAATACAGAAGTGGATATGGTTTAATGTAAATTGGGTTGTAAAAATGATAGGTGCTGTCAGGAAGGGGTTAAATAAGGTTAAGTTTAATTTTGATGCTATAAAAACAGCTATGGCCATTTTCTTTCAAGATATTTTTGGGGCTTTTAACCTTTATTTGAGAGAGACCGCTGAAGATTGACAGGAAGGTGGGGGAATGACATGCAACCACAAACTAGAGACCGAGAGCATTTAGAGGATGGATGGTTGACAATAAGGGAGTTTTTAAGCAATTTACATAAGAGAAGTGCTCCCCATCCAGTCGCCGAAAAAAAATTATTATAGATTTATCCAAATGTTTTTGATACCAAATCACAATATTTCTCTGGTGTTTCCCAAGGTCTTGGTGTCTTAATGAGGCATTTTGAAGTGAACCTTTTTTATCCATTTTCAACTGGTCAAAAATGGTTACATTTGTCATGTCCATTGTATACTTATATCATAATGTGCTACAGTTTTATATACTCTAAACTTAAATTGGTGACTGGACAATGTTTATTACATATTTATGAATAAGAATTAATCTTCAGGTTCCCAACTTTTACATTATATATACCATTTCTGTGTGGAATACTGTTGACCTGCTATCTCTCCCTAAAAAAGACACCTAAAATGTTCAGTTATTCAACTATATGGAGGGGTGGAGTGGAATGTTGAAGAACTGAGCTGGTAAGTTGGCAACTTATTTAAAATATATTTTAAAATATATACATCAGATCAGATATACATCAGTCTCAAACCTCAAACTATTATTTTCCTTCCAATAGGCCAAGCCAAACATCTCCAAAGGTCCTGAAATTGAGTCGTGACATTATTGTCTCAATTCAGCATTGTCCTCCTTCAGCGTGGACCTGTTTCTGCATTCAGTCATGACGTTTATGGTAAGTAATTCCACACGAACAAGTTTTTCCTAACTTACTGCTGCTGTAGAGTGACACTGGTGGGGCATTTGTTCAATAGGATGTGTGGTTTGATTATAAAATAGAAGTGACAACTAGAACTTACTCTAAAATGCTTGATATGCTCTTGCTCTATAATGATGTTTAAACTTACTGTATTCCCCAGACAAAGAGTGAGAGAGAGACTGACAACACTCATAGACGAGAGAGGGGCATGTAAAGTATGGACTGAGAGAGAGCCAACGACTACCACGTTCACCATGCCACTGCACATGCAACAAAAGTCCTGTGAGTAATGGCCAATAATTTATTAATAAAATGTATTATGTATTATATGTATTCCGTGCAAAAGAGACAAGGAAATAGTTTGTTCTGGTAACTCTGGCAAGGATTTTTATAATATCTGATTTTAGGATATTATAACTTTGCCCCTGCAACAAACCCTTCATACCACAGGGCATACTGTGACTCATACAAAGGCGAGTTGATTGCACATCGACAGGTCCATGTTATAGTAGTCTCATGTATGTATCCTACTCACAACACTGCATTTTTATAAATTATGATAACTAGTCATGGTTCAACTCTCTTGCCTCTCCCACTTACTCCCCCCAAGGAGATTTTTTTTATTTTTTTATTTATTTATTTATTTATTAAATTTTTTTTGGTTTTCAAAGATTTTGCCATAGCAGGCCATCATGGCAAAATGTTACCAGCAGAAACACTGTGTGATTGTTCTCTCTGCTCTCTCTCTGATGCTGGTGTTAGGTCCTGGGATCCTGATCTGCAATAACTCATTCCACCGAACCTGGCGGGATCCTCAATGTTCACATGCTGCTCCCTTGCCTCAACAACTACAGGAAGACAGCACCATGGGAACATCTTGACAGCTTGCTTATCTATTAAGGTCACTTTTATGCCAATGGACTTTGGACTTTTGTCTGCCTGTGGACTGTGGGAGGAAGTCAGGGCAACCCTGGTAATTCTATTCAAGCACATTCATTTCATTACTCTCAAACATCCAGCTGAGCTGTGAGTATCATACTGAGAACTGATGTATTTTTATTTTATTATTTAAAGAAACATGTTTTAATATTTTCAACATTAAAATATTAAATAAAATGTTTATCTTGTATGTAGTTTTTGGTGAGCTAAGTAAGACATTGAGGTTTTACTAAGAAGATTATTAATTATATTAAAACACTGTCACATTTCATGGCAAAACGTTAGTTTTTGTGTGCCATTTCAAGGGAATTTATACAGAATAAAGTAGTATTTTATATTAGATACTGTTAATTGTACAGTATAACACTAATATTTCATGGTAAAACCTTTATTTTATGGTTATTCATATGGTACTTTTATGTCATATATTGCAAAACAGTGTTTCTTTTGAAGGAAAAAAACTTGTTTTACACAGTAAAATGTGGAATAAAGTGCCAACATGAATTGTAAAATCAACAGTACTAATATCTTGATACCGTAATAGTAGAAAAAGTTCCACTGTATTTATTACAGTGAAATTCTGGCAACCACAGCTGCCAGTTTTTTACAGTTGAAACAACAATTTTTTCCCCTAAAGTATACGGTGAAACACAGTCATATTTAATGGAAAACCTTTATTTATATGATATTTTAAGGGAATTTACACAGAATAAAGTAGTATTTTATATTAGATACTGTTAATTGTACAGTAAAACACTGTAATATTTCTTGGTAAAATCTTTATTTTATATAGTATTTTCATGTCAATTTTAAAACAAAACAGTGTTTCTTTTGATGGAAAAAATATGTATTTATACGGTAAAATATGGAATAAAATACCAACATTACCTGTAAAATCAACAGTACAAATATCCTTTTACCGTAATAGCAGAAAAAGTTTTACCGTATATATTACGGTAAAATTCTGGCAACCACAGCTGCCGGTTTTTACCGTTAAAATAACAGTTTTATTTTTACAATAAAACACTGTAATATTCAATGGCAAAATATTTAATTTATGCGGCATTCATACGGTATTTTCTTGTCAATTATATGGCAAAACAGCGTTTCTTTGATGGAAAAACCTTTATTTATACGGTAAAATATGGAATAAAATGGGAATCTTAAACGGAAATCAACAGTGCTAATATCCTTTACCGTAATATTAGAAAATGTTATACCGTATTTATTACGGTAAAGTTCTGGCAACCACAGCTGCCGGTTTTTACCGTAAAAACTGCGGGTTTTTTTACAGTGTGTAATTAAAACCCTTCTTAAAAAGTCCACTCTTGACCCAGGGGTTTTAGCCAATTATAGACCGATTTCTAACCTCCCCTTCCTCTCCAAGATTCTGAGAAAGTAGTCAGCAAAGAGTTGTGTGACTTGCTACATAACAATAGTTTATTTGAGGATTTTCAGTCAGGATTTAGAGTTCATCACAGCACAGAGACAGCTCTGGTTAAAGTTAATAATGACCTTTTGATTGCTTCCGACAATGGACTTGTCTCTGTACTTGTATTATTAGATCTCAGTGCTGCATTTGACACCATTGACCATGATATTCTTACAGAGACTTGAGCATCAAATTGGCATTAAAGGAACCGCACTAAGCTGGTTTAAGTCATATTTATCAGATCGTTCGCAGTTTGTGCACGTTAACGATGAATCTTCAATAAATACTACAGTTAGTCATGGAGTTCCACAAAGTTCTATACTTGGACCAATACTATTTATTGTATATATGCTCCCTTTAGGCAACATTATTAGGAATCACTCCATTAACTTTCATTGCTATGCAGATGAAGCAAGCCCGATGAAACTAATCAATTATCTAAATTACAAACATGTCTTAAGGACATAAAATCCTGGATGAGCTGCAATTTTCTGATGTTAAAAACGAAATTCTTGTACTTGGCCCCAAAAACCTTAGAGACTCACTGTCTAAAGATATAGTTACTCTAGCTGGCATTACCTTGGCCTCAGCACCACTGTCAGGAATCTTGGAGTTATCTTGTCTTTTAATTCCCACATAAAGCAGACCTCTAGGACTGCCTTCTTTCATTTACGTAATATTACAAAAATTAGACACGTCCTATCACAGACAGATGCAGAAAAACTAATCCATGCATTTGTTACTTCAAGGCTGGATTACTGCAACTCTTTATTATCAGGTTGCCCCAATAAGTCCA